ACGTGAGAAAGTCAAGGTATTAAACAGTCTGTATAGTAAGCTACACTTTGTGGGGGGAAAATGGCATGTAAATTCATATGTACTTGTATATGTATAGATTACCTGTAGAATAATTCATAAATAATACTTAACATTGAATATTTCTGAGGAAGATATCTGGGTAGCTAAGCCACAGAGGTAGAAGAGAAATTTACTTTTTATGGTATACATATTTTTTAACAACTTGAATTTTATATCATGTGTCTGTTTCACCGAAAGGTAAGTAAATAGACTCAATAGTATTATATATGTGACATGTACTAAACGACTCAGTAGCCTACTGTAAAAATATGTCTGATATTTCTACTTAAGAAAAACACGTTTGTTTTATTTGAATTATCGAGATAATCACCAAGATTATCACTTTCTGATATGAATCACAGAACTTAAAAATGGTGTTTCTCAATTTCAACAGTTGTTGAAACATAAATTCAATCTATTGTATATATTTATTACTAATAGAGACAGGATCTCACTATGCTGCCTAAGCTGGAGTGAAGTGACTATTCCCAGGTGTGATCCCACTGCGGTCAGTACAGGAGTTTTGACTTGCTCCATTTCTGACGTGGGCAAATTCACCTCTCCTTAGGCAATCTAGGAATGCCTGGCTTCGGGACAAATTAAATCTAGATTAATAAAATGATGATTGTGTGTTTTCTCTCACTTTTGAGACATGTTGGCTAAGGAAACAGTGTTAACTTATGCTTATGTATTTTACTGGTGATTATACACAATAATAAAATCATTCATAGAATAAGCAATTGAACTACTGTTCAAATGATTTAGTTATTAAAAACAGTCAAAATTAATGGTTTATTTTGAAAAATAAGAGTAGTGACTAAATTAATTACAGTAGGGAAGATTTACACTTTCTTGAATATTTTTATATCCTAGTGATTTTATTCTAGAAAGCAAGATACTATACCATAAAATCAATTGTCCAGTAAAAAACTTGGGAAGTTCTTCTACAACAAATTGGAACAGTATGAAACGTAATAAAAAGTTTTGTTAGCCTGGGCAACTTGGCAAGACCTCATTTTTACAACAAAAATCAAAAAAATTAGCTGGGTATACTAGCGCATGCCTGTAGTTCTGACTACTTGGAAGGCTGAGGTGGAAGGATAGCCTGGTCCCAGCAAGTCAATGCTGGAGTGGCCATGAGCATGCCAATGCACTCCAGATTGGGCGATGGAGTGAGACTCCAACTCAAAAAAAAGAAAAAGAAAAAAGTTTTGTTAGATATTTTTGGTATATATTTACATTGTCATGAAATAATAACTGATTTAAAATAAATTGTATGAGTTAGCTTAGCAATTATATAATTCAAACTGACATAAAAATTATTTTTAATTTAGCCAAATAAAAAACTCAGAGAAAAAAACCACATGAAAGATACAATAATTCATTTTATTATTCTGGATCAGTTATAACTTGAAGAAATAATATATACTTTATATTTGTTATATCAGACTTATTAAGCCAATCAGGCAGTATGAAAGGAAATAGCTTAATATTTAAAAATCGACATCAAGATTAAAAGGTATTTCTTTGTCACTAGAAAAATATGTTTTAAATAAAACAACAATGATCCTACTTTGAAAAATTATAAAATTCGGCTACAGAAATACATTTTGTCACATACAGAAGTTTAAATAAATATAAAAATATAATTTTAATGGATTAGAACAGCTTCTACACACTAATGGGCACTTATTTTACTTAAAAGAAAAATAAAACATATTTTATTGAGATTATTTAAAAGTTATTTTGCATGTCTACTAAAAACCAAACTTTAAAGCATTTTTTTCTTACAAGTACACAATGCAGAAACAATTTCCAATATTTAAGCATTAAAATGGCTAAAAAAGACAATATTTGTGTTGCTTTAAGTCAGTAACCCTGTGAGTTAAGAATACAATTAAAAACTGATGCCACATTAAAAAAATTAATAGTAGCAGGAAAGATTTAGTGCCTTTTCCCCAAAATTTGTAATTACAATTACTGTTAAAGTTTTAAGTCTGCTAAAATGCATATTCATATACAAAATGTACAAACCATGTATAAAAATACACACACAAAAAGCTACAAACTTCTAAGATTTAACAATCCAATATAAAAAATTGGATAGGTAGTCAAAGAAATTGATAGGAAAGAATAAGTTAACCAAGATAGGTAATGAAGTCCAAGGTTGATAATAAAAATTCATTGAGAGAAGAAAATTAGATAAGCACATAAATAATTATAATGTAAGCCAGAATATAGATGTTCCTGTATAAGAAGTACATGTAAAATATTTGTGAATTCAGAGATCAGCAATTACAATTGATTGAATGGAACAAAATTGTTTCATAGACGAGCTAGAACATTAAAGAAAAAAAAAGCCCTTGGAAAAGAAGAGGATTTCAGTATATGACAGAGAAAAAGAAGAATTTAAAGTGGAAGGATGAAAAATGATGAATCAAGGTCTTTCTATAGAAAGGAAAAATAATCAGCGTTGGTTTGCTTCTTCTAGTTGCATATAGCAATTTCATAGTGTCGGATTAATTGTGAATTTATTATTTATTTATTTGTGAATTAATTTTGAAGTGTCAGATTATTTGAGAATTTATAATCATTTAAATAAAATAGAATAAAACATTAAACAGTAAACTTTCCATCAAGTTCCTCATTTATAACTCTAATTCTCACTTACTTTAATAACAAATAACTCAATATTCAGACACGAGGCATTGTGTTTTAGTATTTCTATGTGTGTTAATATGTTAATATATAACTAAATTAAAGAGTCACCATAGTAACTGATGAATAATTATATTTTAAAGATTATAATCATTAGCACAAAAAATGTATAACTAAAGAGCAAGTAGAAATTCTAAAATGAATTTAAAAAGCAATGATCCTATTTTCTAAGTGTTGTAAACTTTACTGCAAAATAGCAAAGAACTGGCCTTTAGAATGCGTCATTAAGCTTATCTGTATAAAAGCAGAAGTTAACTCAAAGTTTCTAAAATGAAATGATCTCTCCAATCCTATTTCTTATCAAAGCCTCTTTTGAATTCAGATAATTAGTCAAACAGAAAAGCAATGTCTTTTCATTATTTTCTTACTGAAGATAAGAGTTATCCAAGGAGATTACTTTCACTCTGGGAAAAACAACATTACAATTGATTTATCATTTATACTGATCTTCTGAATTTAATCCCTATTAGTGAACAATGAACATGTCAGTAGCTTATTGTATTGTTGAATGATTTTATGTTCTCTTCAGCAGGTGAACTTCCCTTTCTCTTTTTTTTTTTTTTTTTTTTTAAGAATGACCCATGTCAGCATTCTTACTCTTTATCATTGTACTTTCTATGGAATGGAAATTTCTACTTTTCATACCAGACAACTTCAAACAGAACGTGCAAATACCTTGGTGCAAGAAATGAAAACAGATGTTTCCTGAAAGCAAAACAATGAGTAAATTCTAAATATTTTCCCAAAGATGGGTTACAAAGACTGGGGAAGGAAGGAAGGAATGAATACATTAAGAAAATTTAGAAAAGACTAGATTAACAAAACTGAGTTAGCAATAAAGTTACTTTTAAAAAATTAAATATCTTTCAAATTTTGAAAGAAAAAAATAAGAAATCTGAGTTAAAACCTTCACTACAGCATGCATAAGAATTGAAGGGAATAAAAAGGAATATTAAGAACCTTAACCAATATCCACATAGTTAAACTAACTAAAATAATATTTCTACTGACATGTGTACTGACATGCAGGAAAGGTGTCAGTTAAAGAAAAAATAAACTGCAGTAATATTCAGTTAACAGTACAATAAAATGATGAAATTGATTGTTTTCAATTTGATTGCATCCTATGTTCATTGGAAGGAAGAAAGGCGAAAGAAAGGGAAGGGTGAAGGTAATAAAAGAGGAAGAAAGACAGGCAGGCAAACAAGAAGAAAAACAGAGAGAGGAAGAAAGCCAGTTCCTAATTAAAAAGCAAGGAAACCAAGCACAATCTGCGTCTAAGACAACTGTCAGTCATGATAGGACATAATAATCATTTAATTCCAGGGATTTTTACTAGAATTTTGGGGATGATGCTAGTACTTTTGTTAAGTACTAAACCTTTTTAAGTACCTTAGATGATGTACTAAGAAAACAATCTGAATTATGGCATAGCACAAAAAAAGTTTTTTACCCATGTGAGTTTCCCACTGTGAGTTGAGAGACACAATGTTAATAATTATGGAATATAGAACTCTATTTACACAAAGAACCTCAAATTTCATCATGGCAACTTTTATAGACAGAGCATAAACAAATAAAATTATGACTGTGTGTGTGTGTGTAACTCTTAACTACATCTCACTCAAAGAATGAAACTAGACAGAACACTGGTTTGATCTAAAGATCTGCATTGTCACACCACAAAAACCCATGCATAGCTCTTAATAATCATACACTTCTGTTAAAAAATTGCTGTTATATGCAGCAATTGACTGTGCCTCATTTATACCCCTATCTGATTTCTTGTCAGTACCTATACATGTCCTAACAGCATCCTGTCACATAGGCCTAAACAGGTAGAAGGGTTCAGGAAGTTGCAGACATGATAGGGTATACAAAGGTTCACTTAAACGAACCAAGATTTGAATGAATGCAGTTACAATATTGTAATTCTCAAGTACTTTACAGGTTTAAAAATTCCAATGATACAGTGTACAAAAAAGATATTACAGCACATTTCAATTTTACTTCTTCATGTGTGAATATTTTGACTGTCTAATATTTAGAATTTTTTTAAGTTCATATAAATCATTTTACATAGAAGCAGTGGCAGATAATCATATAGCTCCAATAAAATTATTTCTGTGTTCTACACATATAAGCTATTTGTGCTGCATTCCTAATAAGTCGCTCATTGCTTAGAATAATTAAAGTCCCATTGGAAATTTTACATCAAAAACAAACAGCAAATTTCTCTAGTTTTTATTAACTACTGAAAACTCCTACTGTAACATGATTTAGATTTTTTCCAGAAATACGGTTTCCTATTAAATTAAACAAACATGAACAACATTAAAGCAGTTCAGAAAGAAGCCATTCAAATTATGTTGACAGTAGAACCACATCTCCTACAGTTGTCTCAGAGTCCTGACTGTGGTTAGAGCTGATACCAGTGTCTGAATCTGTGTCATTTGTATATATATTAAATACTCTCTGAGTAAAGGGAGGGACCTCCCCACTGCTGCTGGGAACCTCAGATTCCTTTCCTCTGTTTTCCTTTGACTGGCATCCATCTTTGTTGCTAATGTGAAGCGAACTGAACTCCTTGGCCAGGAGTTCATATTCTTTTGCTTTCATCTGAAGCAATGAGTCACTGTATTTAATCTCTTTCTGGATGCCACTCAAGTGAGAGTGGATTTTCAAACCAGCTTGCATGCTTTTCTCCAAGTCACACTTAACACTTTCTAAATTAGAGTTTTCCAGTTCGCTTGCAGCTGCCCCTTCATCATCTTCATTTATTTCAATGCAAACACTTTTTACCTCTTTTTCTATTTCAGCAGACAGTTTATCAATGAGCATTCGGTAATATTTTAGTCGTTCTTCCAGCTGTACAATTCCATCACTTTCGTTCAATTCCTCAAGAGTCTGTTCTTCTGCATAGTCCAAGTCTAATTTTGGCTCAGCTTCATTGAGATTGGACATCAAATACGCATCCTGAACATAATTTTCTCCGTCATTTTCTACCCGATCAAGGTGGAACTTAGCTTCACACTTTTCAATCTCCAGATCCAGCTCTTTCATCCTCTTGACTTGCTGATGAATAGTATGATCCTGGGAAATGATCAGATGAACTAATGTCTCCATGTTATCTCGCTCATGGGAAACTGTGTCCTGCTTAATTTTCGCCAGTTTCCGGAAAGTTTTTCTGACGATTCTTTTTTGTTTATCCGGTGGTAAGGTCTTCATGTAATTTGCTGGGCTGAGCTCCCACAGTTTTTCTGTGTTCTGCACTAATTTGGCTTCAGCCGTTCGCCACAAAGGAACGGGAAGAAAAGCATCTGCTTTAACCAAAACAAATTGCATATTGGGCTGCTCATCCCCCCATGCTTTCCAAAGCTTCAGGATTCTAGTTAGAGGAGGAAGGACCCGTTCTGAGCCTCTCCACTTTTCTATGATGCAGTAATCATTGGGCTTCCCCAGAAGAAATCGCTTCTCTCCAAACGTAGCCTCATGTTCCTCAAGCAAAGCTTGGATGACATCAGCAGAGGTGGTGCGCTTAGTTAACCCACAGACAATCTTCTCTTCTTGGCAAACCCAAACCACAATTTCCTTCTCTTCTGAATCCATGTCTTTGGTTGGCGATCTGAAACAAAAACAAAGCACATTATATTTCTGCCATCACCGTAAACTCAGAAGGATGGTTTAGCATTAATGCTCTTTCTAGATGTTACCCTTAATAAGAGAAACATCTTGAGGGTGAGATTACTTAAGAATCAGAAGACATAATGCAAGAAAAAAAACACAGAAAGTATCTTGGTTTCCTTTTAATTTCCCAGTGTGTTCTGGATTTCAAATTGTCATCAGACAACTGAGGTTTTTAAAATATTTATTCATTTGTTTATTAATTTATTTAGAGTCAGAATCTCACTCTGTCGCCCAGACTGAAGTGCAGTGACACACACATAGCCACCGCAGCCTCCAGCTGCTCAGTCTTCCAAGGAGCTGAAACCATAGGTGCACACCGCCACGCCCAGCTAGTTTTTCTTGATTTATTGTAGAGACGAGGTCTCACCAAGTTGCCCATGCTGTTCTCCAACTCCCGGGCTCAGGCACTCCTCTCACCTCAGCCTCCTAAAGTGCTGGGATTACACTGTGTCCGGCCTAATTTTTCTGTAGAAGTGAACTACCACATAACCACAGTTATAACTGCTAGAGTTGATGTAATCAAAGAGAAGATGTATAGGAGGAGGTAGAATGAGTCTATTTCTGTTGGAGCCATAACACTAGAGACAGACCGTGGAAGCATAGGTAGGAATGGTGGTATAATATTGGAATCATATAGTAAAAAATAATTCAATATGGAAAAGTCATTTTTTTTTCATTCAACAACTGTTTATTTTACATCAACTATGTGCCAGTATCGGGAGATGCCAAGGATACAGTGAGAAACAAAGAAGACAAGAACACAGGCATGAATGCACTATGAAGAAAATTCAACTGGGTGAAGGGATAGAAAAAGAATTGGAAGAGAGGAGGCCTATTTTATTTAGAGTGCTTAGGAGAGGCTACCTTAAGGAGATGACATTTGAATAGGGACATAAATGATCAAAAAGAGGCAATCAGCTCTCCCTATCTCTGTCTCTCTGTGTCTCTATCTGTCTCTCTGCCTCTTTCTCTGTCTCTCTGTCTCTTTGATTATCTCCCTCTCTCTCTTTCTGTTCCTGTTTCTTGTCTCTCTTTCTATGTGTGTCTCTCTGTCTCTCTTTCTTTGTCCCTGTCTCTTTCTGTCTGTGTCTGTCTCTCTCTGTTTCTTTCTGACCCTGTCTCTCTGTCTCTGTCCCTCTGTCCTCTCTTTCTCTGTCCTTATCTCTCTTTGTCTCTGTATTTCTCTGTCTCTGTCTCTCTCTCTCTCATCATCAGCCCACCCCTACCACCCTCCTCTCCACTCCCCACTGCCCTGCACTCCCTATTCAAAAAAAAAAAGAGGCAATCAGAAACCTAAGGGAAGGATTCCAGGAAGTGTGAAAAGAAGTATGAGGCCCTAGGGAAAGAAATAACATGAATCTAGTTGGAGACTGAGGATAGCGGAGTCTGGAGTTGCTGCTGGTATGAGGGAGAGATCAAATAATAAGAAATGGAAGTTTGAGGGGAAAGGCAAAACCCTGCAGGCCGTGTTAAGGCATTTGTCTTTTGTTCAATTTTAGTGGGAAGTCACTGAAACGCTCTAAGCAGAAGAGGATAATATTCCATGTATATATATACACAACTTGAAGAAGGAAGAGGGGACAGGGGTGAGCAGTCCATTTTGGAAACAACATGCATTAGTGACGGGTGACTAGTTCACTTTAAGCCCGGGCTTCTTCACCACTATATAGCACATCCATGTAACCAGAAATCATTTGTACTCCTAAAGCCTTTTTTTCCCCCCAAAGGATATAATATCATTTATACTTTACATATATCTGGCTTTTGTTTGTAAAATGGATTGTAAAAAGAAAAAAAAATAGAGGCAGAAAGCCTATTGCTGCAGTCTAGGAGAGAGATGATAGTTTATTGGACTAGGGAAAGTGGCCAGAATCGGGATATAGGTATATACTGGATATATGTATATACATATGTATATGAGCTTAATATACTTTTCTCTGTGGTATACAGGTACAAGAAGGAAAAAAAAAGTTTCCTAGAGGAAAAAAACAGGTGGTAAAAGAAACAAGGAAATTCCATGATTTCTTGGCCATGCTCATTGGAGAATTTTTAAGAATATATTTTCCATCATGGCTATACATCAAATTGACTCTATCTTTTGTAGTACCTCTTCAAAAGAATGCTAAGAAATATATGACATGACATGAATTATACTATAATATAATTTATGGTGACATAAGATTTTTGAGAAGTAACTGGCTTGTTGTGAAAATTAAGTCAAAATTATGTATCACTTTATTCATGTAATACCCTCAAAGCATATGATTAAATGAAACGCATACCAAAGAAATTTCCTCTGGCTTCTAAAATCAATTTTATAATTTATAGTGTTTATATTTCAGTAGCAATAGTGACTAATCCTATGTTACTATCTTTATTTTTAAAATAAGCTAATTATTACACTTGGTTATTGATTCCCTTAAGGTCAAAAAGTGATTATTAAAGGTGAAATAATAAATCAATGGAGCCAGGTAGCACTGACAATTAGGTCCAGTTGCTAACCAAGAGTTTCCAGTAAAACTTAGGTATTTGACTTGTAGGAAATAAAATTTTATAAGTGATAACTAAAAAAGCTATACTGAGTTGTGATGATTCTCTTATAAAATATTTTGCATCTAATGACTTAATATTGAATAATATATTTAAAGTAAAAGTGTATCTTGACAATGTTTATAATTTATCATTCAATAATTCTAAATAGGATAAAAATAGGTTAGAATTTCAGATAATAAAATCATTTTCATATTCCGATTAGTAGAGAAATAATACAAAAAATACACTCTAAAAAGAAGTAAGTTTTTCAAAATAGTAACTATTGTCTGTGTTGTGGCTATACAGCACAAGTCACATCTAAATAAATTCCTACCTTGATATGTTTTAATAATGTACATGCAATACTTAAAATTAATATACACATTTATTTTACACCATGTGGTTAAAGTTTATTTACTTTAACTAGGATTCTTTGAAAAGAGGTAATCCATATTCTATGCCTGTTAAATTATAACCAATTTCAATATAAACTTTATATAAATAACAAAATTTTATATAAAAACTTTATATCAATAACAACAAAAATAATAACAAAATTAAATAGCTGTCATAATTACCAACCTTATATGATAATGCTAATAGCTATTATGTTCAAAGTAAAGGCATCTTTTATTTTATTTTTTAAAAAGATGTGGGGTACATATACGGGCAGCCAATAGACACATGAAGAGGTGCTCAGCCTCACTAATCATCAGAGAAATGCAAATCAAAGTAAAGACATCTTTATTTAAGATTATTAATCAGTATTTACGGTTAAACTCTAAAAATTCCTATGAGAAATAAACAGCTTTAACGATAGTAACGGTCAACTACAAAACATCTAAAATGTTCCAGGCACTGTTCAAATCTCTTGCACGTATTAAATAATTCAATTGTCATAATTCTGTAAGGTAGATTATCATATTGTTGCCATTTTATATGTAAAGAAACTGAGGCAGAGGTGTTAGTAATTTGCCTGAGGTCACACTATAAGTGGTGGGATTCAAGTTCAAGCAAGAAAACTGGCTTCCAAGTTGGCAGTTCTAACTACTACACTACAAAAACAATTTTATAAGTTTGGTAACTTGGATATGTGTATTACATTCAAGGCAAAATAAACTGCTTTCAAAAACAAACTTTATGACAAATTAGCCTTTGATAGCAAGCGAACTGTAGCACCCCATGAGAACACAAGATTGATCATGATGGACTTTTTTCTGTGGGCAGTCATGGAGAAAAGTGTGCAAGAATTATTATCTTCTGTGCTTTTTAAAATTTTTTTTATGTTTCTGAGTTAATGTAGTAATAGCAAAGGATTTCTGGCTGGCCAGGTATCTATCTCCTTTAGTTGAAAAAACTCATCTATTTAAAAGCCCTTCCTGTAGTCTTCAAGTGGTCCCTGTGTTCTGGTCTCTTTTCTGTTTGGGAACCAATCGTTCTGGGTCTGTATTTAAAGATGACACATGAACTATAAATTATTCAGCCCTACACTAGAGCCGTGAAAGAGACTCGGGAAAAGGAAACAGAAAATCTTTCTGGATAGTAGAATAATAATCCTGATGTACGTGACATTTCCCCCACACTCCCATGACCTCTACTCCAACTGGAATCCTTCCTTCAATGAAGGGATCAAGTTCTTGTAAATTGTGGCCCCTCCTAGAAATCTGCTAGCTTTCAGCTCATGTGAACAATGTAGCAACACATTATACACATCAAGTCCATGTTACATATGGAAAGATAATGCCGTCATTAATAACCTCACCAAACTGGCTCCAAATCTCTTTTTCTTTCTTTCCTTTTTTTTTGTTCTGTCTCTCCTAAATGTTCTTGTATTTTCTCGGTCAGCTATTTTCAAACATTTTGGGGACTTTTTACAACAATCACTCAAACCAGGTAATTTTCAAAACTTCTGCCAATTAACTGAATACCTTTGAAGTAATAACCATTCTTTACTGAACTTAGACAATAAATCTTCTACCACTAGTGTGTGGTTTACCATGTCTAGTGCCTACTTTATAGCAGACTTGGAATTTTGAAAACTATACTTATTGTATAATATGGTTGCAACTGAGTTTCTATTCACTCATTCAGCAAATATTTGTTAAGTACATCCTGTGTGACTGGCCGTGACATAGGAAATTTGTATGATACAAAGACATGTACAATTTATAAGACAGTGTTTCTAGTTTACTTTGGTAAATAGTGATAGGGTTTAGAAAGGAACGCTCTGTTTAGTGTCAGTTCTAGTGCTAAGTTCCTTACTATATTAGTGGCCCAAATGCTAGATTGATGGAGACTAATTACCCTCAGCATAACTTCATAAAGTAAACACACACACACACACACACACACACACACACACACACTGCAAAAGGATACAGGATAAATATTCATAAAGATTAAACC